CATTAATTATTGTAATTATTTTTTCTCTTCAATTCAAGTGAGCAGCTACGTGTCAACGCAGGCATAGATAATAGAATACCCTGAACTTGCTGATACAGCGTGATTCACTTACTTTTTTCTTGATCTTGAATCATAATTGCAACAAGTTGTTCTTGAAGTTGAACGAGTTGCATTTCGTAGATTTCCCTCTCTGTATAAGGAAAATTATTTTGCTCCATTGTGTCCAACTGATGGTCGAGACTGGGATTATAAATTTTTGTCAAAACATTTCTRTTGAAATCCCCAGGATTTTGAGCTTCATCCGAGTTATTGTCGATACATTCTACTGTGTCYTCGAATGAATTGCAATCGCTGTCTTCAAGTTCTTTTAACGTATATCGTTCGTCGTCACCATTGTTTACATACAGTTTTCGATCAAGAGTTGAGCTTTCATCCCTTGGCTCTTTGGAGCTTTTATGTCGAAAAGCTGATCTTAGCATAATCTCGAGTTTTTAGTATAAAATCAGGCAGCTGGTTCACTTTATAGAAAATGTTGAAGGTTTATAACACTTACACGTATTGGGTATGCATTTATGGCGTGAATATTAGGGTCCGGTAGGTGAAGCTCCAGAGGGGAGAGTGAAGCTCTTTTAGATTGGCGAGCCCATCATACTTTTGGYCAGCGGCATCTCTCCCAACATGCAGCTGTTTTTTGTAAGGAACGCCTGGTARATCTATTATTTTTACTTTCATTCATTCGAACTGAAATTGAGTAAAAGAGTCTATTGCACGTCATCTATTCGAAGAATACTTACTAGCAATAACAGCCTTCCTATTTATCATGCATGTGGTCTCATAAAGACGGTTTTGGACTTGTTTGTCTCACGATTTCAGTTTCGAGGGAGTCTTCTCAGCGACAATGAAGATTTTAGTTTCCAGTTTCATTCGATCAGGCGATTGATGCATTTCATGTGAAGTTCTATCCATGGAAGAACCCTTAAAAAGCATATTTTGTATCAAGAAGAAGCCATACGATGTTTTCCTTAATAAAGAAGAAATAACATGGACTCCACAAGCCGCCGAGCAATCAGGTACAGAACGTAATAAAAATTGTCTAATAAGCTTATACTGTCAAATAAACAGCCATTTGAAACAAACTTATATGGATATTCTAAAAATTTTGCGTTGRTTCACATATTAGATAACTCAAAAATTCACAGAATCACAGAATGTAGTTTAAGTACTGCTGAAATGTATTTTGGATGTGTATTTTATATTTCTATTCTACATAATTCAGTTTCTCATGCATAATAAATTATTAATGAATAAATTAACACGTCTTGGAATAAGTGAATTTMGCTATTTATTTGTGTCACAGTGATCGTATGACATCCTTGAGTATGTTGACACATCTAAGATTGTGAAATATAAAATATTTTAAATGTTAGAAATGCACAATTCAATTTGAAATGACTTGTCAGAGATTTTTTGAGATGTTTTTTTCAGTGAACAGCTTTGATGTGCAATAAACCATTTCCATGATAAAGTAGCTCAGCTTTCAGCAAGTTATACTGTCAAGATGTTGAGAAATATAAATAAAGCAACAATAATGTAACGGACTGAGAAATGGCTAGTAAACACACAGTATTGACTCGTTGAAGGACCTTTAATGCTTATAGCAAGACTACTAGAAGTGAACTGATTATTTGTTACAATTGTGCTCTATTTATGTACAATTCTATGTCTAATTTAGTTACAATACGTAATCATTACGTATTCGCGCGTAGGCTAGTCTAACCCAGGATTTATGCAAGGAAAGTTACGAAATTACGTAATAATACGTAATAGAAATTATAATGATCTAGTTAAATCCCATTTAGGGACTGTTCATAATTTGTCGGGAGAGGGGTTGGAGATTGGGTAGGGGAGGGAGGGGCAAAAAAGTTAAGCTGCTGTAAATAGGGGTAGCATGAAATGTTTTGCTCTGCTAGAGGGGGGGGGGGCTAATACTGTTATCTCACTAAKTTTAAACTTTTAAAAATTATTGATTCTGCTGAAAAGGTTGAAGAAGATACAAACAGTGGTTCTGAAGATGAAAATGATAAAGATAATCATATTTCAATCATATGTCAACTTCCATCATATCTATGCACATGTTCTGGGAGAAATATATCTGTTCTTATGTCCCAGTCCCAGCCAGCGCTGTAAGTCACAACTGCTTGCCAGCGGCTAATTCAGGAAAAATAACTTTTCAGGCAAGGGACACTTTCTAAGAATTTTTGCAGGGAACAAAATTATTTTAAGAAGGAAGGGCGCTTCATTTGCTTGCGAGATTGTCAACAATGTTGCTCAAAATCACGAAATGGAGAAAGTATAGGTATTCCATAGATTCTAATTATATGATAAATTCTAGTATTACAAATTAGAAAGAAAAAGAGAGAGATACCTTCAGTCTGGTTAGTGTAATTTTAGAATTAGGGATTTTTAAAGAAAGCTACAGTGAATAAAATTTAATATTTCTTTCGTCATTTCATCATAAAAAATGGCGTGAATATTATTTTTCCAGGCACAGCAAAGAAAATGTATAACCTTCAAGCAAGAAGTCTTCTTATGCGCGATGTCATTGGAGCATTAATAAGAAAGAAAAAGTCATCTAAGAAGTCCAACAGTCCTGGGAAACTTTTGGGTTTGACAGTGTGTACTTACTGCAAGGAAGGAGACAGAAAATTGGCTGAGTCTAGACTGTCTTTTGAAAGTGATGACTTGGAGTTATGTCAGCTKTGGTCTTCCACAATCAATGAAAAYCTAAAAGGTATTTATTGTTGTGCTKTTATCAACAAACAACAGTTATCTATACATTTTTTTAAATCCGACATGTTTATGAGTAATAAATAATTATTAGTAAAGAACTCCTATAAGGTCAAGGGCTTCAATCATGACCTTTTTGCAAAGTTTTCTAAAAACTGAGCTATTAGACCAACAACGGTTGGTGGTCATGGATTTAATTCTTGTTAAAGCACAACGGGGAAGGGAAAAGGAAAACACTATTGAAGAGGGATGAGGTTGCTGGAGAAATATAATCACTGGAAATGGATAGCTTTTTTCAGGTTTGATACTTGCAAGTGTGTGATTATTAATTTGTGCTAGGTCTCCATGGCCGGCCGAGCAAATTGAAAGTATTCATCAATCCTCATAGCAAGAAAGGCAAGGCACCCATGGTGTATGATAGCCTGGTAGCTCCACTTTTCAGGAAGGCAGGGATAAAGACAGACGTTATAAGTAAGATTCACGACTTTCCATACGCAGGTCCAGTGACCACGAACAAACAACGCATTGAACCGAGGCGTCAAGGTACGCAGAACATAAAAAAATGATCTAATGATCTAGTAGTTCCTTGACGCCTCGGTTCAAT